GTGGGAGGTTTTGTACTGAGGCCCGAGACCCACTTAGACAATTACATTAGAGACTCAAAGGCAGTAGTTCTCAACTGGCGCGACTTTGCCCCCAGGAGACATTTGGCTATATCTGAAGACTTTGGGTTGTCACAACCAACGGGGACTTGGTAGTACTGGTACCTAATGGGTAGGGGGCAGGGATGCTGCTAAACATCCTACAATGCACGGGACAGCCCGCTATAAATGAATCATCCGGCTCCAAATGTCATAGCGCCGAGGTTGCGAGACTGCTGGAGGCAGAGCCGGGCACTGGTACTGTGTTAAAAGTCCCCCTCCAAGCCCCAACCGGGCTTTAGAGCCCACTCCCCTCCCCAGTCCAGCTCCTGCCAGCTTTTCCACCCTCGTCTTCTACTCTCGTGCCCTCACCCACCATGTTCTGCTACCACAGTCTTCTTTCTGGTCCTCAAACATTCCCTGCTCCTTCCTACCCCTGGGCCTTTGCATCTGCTGGGTGTGCTCTGCCCCCACATCTGCATGGCTGTCTCCTAGCACTCAGGTCCCTGCCCAAATATCACTTCTTCAGACCAGGACCTACTCAAATGATGTCATTACTACTTTAGTATTGGCCTGTCCCTCCACTAGAATGACAGCACTCTGAGAACAGGGTCCATGTCTGTCTCGCCCATCATTGTCTCCTAGTATCCAGCAGTGTGCCTGGTACTTAATGTGTTTACTAAATAACCGTTGAATGAATGTATGAATGGAAAGCACTGGGGGAAGATGGGGTTTTCACACTGTCGGAGGATGAGGTGTATCAGTGGAGACCTGTGCTCTTGTCCTGGCCCCACTTTCCTCTCCAAGTCTCACTTTCCACATCCGTAATATGGAAGGGATGGGTCAGTGGCATTGGCTCCCCTAATGAAGCCCATTCGGAGACATCAATTTTAGGGCTTTGCTTCGTCTTTGTCTCCATGGCACTAGGCTAAGGTAGGCTGGCCCAAGCTCCTGTCACCAGATAAATAACAAATTACCTCCCACTGAAATCCTCATATTTTGTAATTCTGTCTGTTCTGTTTTCCTCGGGAACCTCCTCTGTTTCCATTTCCTTTTGTACTAGCTGGACACACCTGGCATCAATGCTGGGCACATAGCAGGTTTCCCGGGGCATGGTTCCCAAATATTAGTTGGATTAGAATGGGCTGGGGAGCCTGGCTAAAAGGCTTTACCTACAAACAGACTTGATTCACTAGGTCTGGGGTAATGTGGGTAGACTCAAAAACGGCCCCCTAGGACCTCCAGGTCTTAATCTCTGGAAACTGTGAACATTACCTGAGATGGCAAAAGGGACTTTGCAGAGTTGATTAAGTGAAGCATCTTGAAATGGGAGATGATTGCGGATTATCTGAGTGTGTCCTAAATGCAATCACAAGTATCCTTATAAGAGGGAGACTTGACCACAAAAGAAAGCCATGTGACAATGGAAGCAAGATGCTAAACTGCTGGTTTTGAAGATGGAGGAAGGGCCACAAGCCAAAGAATGCAAGGAATGCAGCTCTAGAAGCTGGAAAAGGCAAGGAAATGGATTCTTCTCTAGGGTCTCCAGAAGGAACCCAGCTCTGACTTGGTGGTAGCCCAGTGAGACCCACTCCAGACTTCTGACCTCCAGGCCTGTGAGAGAATAAATGTGTGTTGTTTTAAGCCACCAAGTTTGTGCTAATTTGTTTTACGACAGCCCTAGGAAACTAACACAGGTAGCACCCAGGAATCTGCATTTTACCGACCTTCCTCCTTTTGCTGGCTCTGATGCAGGAGGTCTGGGTGGACCGTACTTTGGGAAGCACTTCCCCAGAGCTGGTCCAGGCTGCCCCTCAAACACAGCCCATTCTCAGAGAACCAAAGAATTTTGTTAGAGTTGGAAGGACCCTGTCTTAAACAGCCGCTTCTACCTGCTCATTTTACAGATGGGGAAACCGAGGCCTAGGAAACTCCGCATCAAGGTGGAAGGATGAGAGATGCTTTCATTCAAGTCTATCTTTACTGGCTTTCAAATTCCATTTGGAGTTTTTAAAATGAGCGATGGTGCAGGCTGTCGATAGCTTTGCAATAATCTCATAATGACCCAATCGTGAAACGATTTAGCAATTCTGCTGCTAATTGCATTTGTGGATATAGCAATTGGGTAACTAGTTGGTTATTACTCATTCTCCAAGAGCCATACACACTGCATTACAAGGATGCTAATCTTAGAAATACTTGTTAACTTCGATGATAATTACTAAATAATTGGCTAGAACATGCCATTGTGAATTTATCTGGAATATGCCAGGTAATTATCTAGTCTTATGTTCCCTGTAAGATAAATCCAAGGTCCAAAAATTGTTCCAGTTGGTTGACTATCATCCAACCATCGACCTCTGCCAGCCAATTGTGCAAATGCACATGATTAATCAAAGTACTCAAATATTTGGTTTCAAACTGAACGTTCAGATAAGAAACCTGGATGGCCAACAAGCAGACAGTGCTGAATGAGAGAGAGGGGTGCACAGAGCCCCTCCCAAAGATAAATATATAATGACACAATAATATGGAATAAACGCCACTTCTTTGGGGCTCATCTGGCTTCTTCACACAAAATACTAAAACACTTGAGAGACCAATTACATGTCCCAAAGCTGCAGAGTCTTTATCACGGTGCCAGGAAAAGGCTGTGCTATTTGTGAAATCTGCAGGCAGTTATGGTGTTTGGGGAGGGGGACTCAGAATTTTGTACATAATAGAAAAAGGGCCCCAAATGCAGCTGGCTGGCAGGATGAGTGACACATTTTCATAATGACCACTCGTGTTTCAAGGATGGCTGCTAACTGGATCTGTCCACTTCCAATTAGCCAGCCCTTGGGAGAGGGATAAGGGAGGCTTGGGTAACTGGGCTCCACTGATATATTGAAAGGCCAGGCAAAGGAGAAGAGATGGTAAATTTCAAATTTCTAATTTGGAGATGTGAAAAAGAGGGAACAGCAGGCCAAAAGGTGAGGAGTTGACCAGAGAGAAATTTGGGGTAACAGTGAAGCAGTGGGTAGACCAGCAGTGGGGAAAAGACCACCTGCTAACCAGACTTCTGTGGCCCAAGTGAAGGGCTATTGCTTGCTTGCTGATGAAGATGATACTTACTGGATAAGAAAGGTAATGGTCTTGTGGTAGTAGGTTGTAAAAATGGCCACAGATTGTCCCTCTCCCTGCATCCATGCCCTTGCAACATGATCCTGCAGTCCTCCCACCCAGAGGTAGAGTTTGTTTCTCCATGCCTTGAATGGAGGTTGACCACGTGACTTGCTTTGGCCAATGGACATTAGCCAATGTGACACAAACAGAAGTGTGAAAGACACTTGTCCATCAGGGCTTGACTTCTTGCTGCACTTGGCACCTGAGACCACCATGAGAATGAGCCCAAGCTAGCCTGTTGGGGGATGAGAGGCCATGTGGAGGAGAACCAAGGCACCCCAGCTGACAGTCTGCCAACCTGCAGGCATGTGAGTGAGAGCATCCAAGACTGACCAGCCCTCAGTCTGACCTGCCAGCTGACCACAGACACATCCAAGAGCCCAGCTCCTGAGCCTGGCTCAGCACAGAAAACCTGTCCACAGAATAGAAAGAAACCATGAAGTTTTGGGAGAGTTTGTTACTCAGCAAAAGCTTACTGATACACTCACCTAATCAGAACAGCTCAGCTCCTGAATATTATCTCGGCTGATTATTTGAGAGCCATTCTGCCCTGTGCAGAGTTGGGAACCACCATTTTTACCTTGGTTGAAGAAGAATTGAAGGGCCATGGCTAGATCTCCAATCCTTTTCAAACACTACCATTTGACACATGGGTTCCAGTCAATTCACCATTGGCATAATCAATGGTGACAGACAATAACACACATTCTACCAAGCACCAAGTTCTTATAAATGGACCCAAGGAGGCTTTGTATCACAAGGGAAGAGATCAAAGACACACCAGTTCTTCCTGGAGACCCCAGCTCCTGCTATGGTACCTGCCAGGATCCAAGGCTTATGCATTTGGGATCTAATTGACGAGTTGAGCATAGGAAGGAGAGAGTTCCTAATTGACCCTCGGCACCACAGGCCATACCAAGAACGCCGCTGCTGTGGCCAGTCCCAATGCAACATGGGAGTAACTTCCAGAGTTTAAAAACACACCCAAGGATTGTTTCACAACTGTTCAACTGAAACCAAAGCTATTTTTTTTTTCAATGCCCCCTGTCACTGGGCAAATTTAGAGAGAACAAGTCCAAGAAAGTTACTATCATCTGACATTTTCTTAATGTCAGTTCTCTATTACCTACCCCTTCTGGGCAGCTACGGACCATGGATCCTAGATATTTAAAACAACAATGGTAAAGCCTGCAAATGTGCTCTGCTACTTTAATGAAAGTCAGAATAAGAGTCATCAGAATCTTAGTCCAGGGGTCGGCAAACTAGGGTCTGAGGGCCAAACGTGGCCCATCGCCTAGTTTTGTAAATAAAGTTTTATTGGAACATGGTCGCGTACATCCATTTACGTCTTGTCTGTGCCTCTGTCCACACCACAGTGGCAGAGCTGAGTAGCTGCTACAGTAACCATATGGCCTGCAAAGCTGAAAATATTTACTGTTGGGCCCTTTACAAAAAAAGTCTGCAGACCCCTGATTTAGCCTAATTCACTCAATTTACGTGTGGCCAAAGTAGGTCCTGGAAATGTTGTTTCACAAATACTTGGAGAACAGGGGTATCTAGAACCAACTTTTCTGACTCCCCATGCGTGCTCTCTCCATGGTACTGCTCTGCCAGAGAGTTTTAGCATTACGAGTATTTTCTGGAATCTCAAATCTTAGAACCATGTAAGCTGTGAATGGCAGAACTGAAGACGCGCCATCCACCAGAAGGCTGAATTAACCAGAACCCCTATTTCTCAACTCTGCCAGCAGCAGAGCTTCGGGAGTGAACTGATGGGTGGGGAGCCCCGCGCGACTGACCTGGTGATGATGGCCAGGTGGGGCGGGCTCATGCAGGCGCCCATGAAGAGCACCACGTTCTCGTGCCGCGTCTGCCTGTAGGCCATCACCTCTCGCTTGAAGGCCTTCAGCTGGTCCTCATTGTCCCTCTCGATGTCGATCAGCCGGATGGCCACCTCGCCGTGCCAGCGGCCGTGGTACACCTGCCCGAAGCGGCCCTTCCCGATGAGCTCGCCGATCTCCAGCTGCTCGAAAGGGATGTCCCACTCCTGCAGGAAGATGCTGGTCTGACTGGCCTTGCGCGGGAAGCTCCGGGCCGAGAGGAGGGACAGGTTCATCTCCTCAAAGTCATCCTCCGACTCCTCGGCCTCGTCGTGGCCCTCTTCATTCTGTGGCCAGAGCGGAGAGAGGTCAGAGCTGTTGCCCCTGCCCCACCTTCCACGAGGTCCTGCTGGGCCCCGTTGTGCATGTGCAGGTCTGGACATGTCTGTGTGTGTGTTTTTGGCTGGTGCGCATGTCTCTCTCTATTTGCCCAGGTTGTCTTGTCTAGACTCGTTTGGAATGAGGAGCTGAAAGGGAGATCGTGGTAATTCAACTCTCTTGTGCTAAGGGAGAAACCGAGGCTCAGAGAGGAGAAATACTAGACGGACCACCCATCCCAGTTTCCTGGGACTTGCTTGGTTTTGGCACTACAAGTGCCATGCCTTGGCAACCCCTCAGTCCTGGCAAACAGGGATGGTTGGTCACCCTGGGAAGCTCCAAGTCACGCAGCCCGGCAGAGCCAGGATCAGGATTCGGGTCTCTCAACTCCTAATATCCAATGCCCTCCTACTCAACCATGAGTTTTGACTTGTCTGACTATTTATGCACGTGTAATAAAGAAGACAGGCTAAAATATGGGTACATCATGTGTCTGCGTCTAACGTGACCACCCTCCATATGGTGTGTCTTTGCTTCCCCCAGGGAATTTGGTATTGATGAGTCAGAGACTGGCAGAGGTCAGAACTACTCTGCACAGGCCAGAGGCCTGGGGTTCCTGTGTGGCCGGGAGGGCAGGAGACAGAAGAGAGTGAGAGGTTGATAGAACGGGTTTAACACTCAGAACAAATGAGCTGGAATCTGGCCTCTGTGTGACCTTGGGCAAGTCCCCTCCCTTCTCTAGGCCTTCCTCTCCTCATCATAGAGTGGGGCTCATCAAATGTGCCCCTAAGGGTGGTGTGAGGTTTTCAGTGAAATGAAAGCCTGTTAAGTTCTTTGCACCGACCTGACCACTTACACGAAACATGTGCTGGGATGCCTGAGAAAATGCAGATTCCTGGGCCTCACCCAGCTCTACTGAATCAGAATATCAGCAGGCCAGGGCCAGGAATCTGCATTTTTATCCTGCATGCCCACATGACTCAGGGACACTTAGGCATGACCATCACAACAGTTAAACGCTCAAGGTCTAGGGACCCGCATCCCCAGTATGGTGTCTGGGGTGCCAGGGGCTGGGGGTGTCCTGCCCCTTGGATCTTTCACTGGAGTGTGGGAGCAGCAGGTGCCTGAGGGCTTGGGGCCTGACGAGACAGCCCGAGAAGGTGGCCCCTCGGCTACGTGCAAGTCTTCCTAACCCCAAACCTGAGCAAGCTGTCCCCAATGGCACACGCAGGAGAAACGACACAGGAAACATTGGCTTCTCTCAGGATTATTTTTCAACTGTCACAATAGTTCCAGAAAAGGACATAATTTGCTCTGGAAACCGTGACTCTATTCCTTTCAGTTCAGGACATACCGGCAGAGCCGAGGAGTTGGGGCTCCGTGGTTCTCACCCAGGACATTCATTTACTCCTCCAGTGGCTCCGGCAGTTGGGAAGAAGCCCTAGAACATTCTCAACACCCTGCCAAGCCCAGGGTCCCTGAGGCCCTCGCCTCCTCCCCCGTATTCTTTTGAAGGCAGTGGGGCACATCCCCCTTGGTATTCACCCAGCCCTGAGCTGGTTTTTCAACTCAGAATGCAAATCGCTTGCCAACTTCCGTACAACTTGCTTTTCCGTGATGCATACCACAGAACGGCCCATTAGGCTCGGGGCCCGGAGGGGCCACCACTTGTTAGCTGTCCCGGAGTTAGAACATCCATCAGGCAGGGCCACCTCCCCCTCCCCACCGGCCCCAAGCCCTCTGCGTCCTCAAAGACTCCTGACATCCTGGCTCCGGATACCAATTGGCTTTGCCAAGTTCTGGGCAGCCCCTGGAAAAAGTTGCTTCATTGCTCTCTAGTTCTCACCTCCGAGGTTGGCTCCACTTCAATTTGAAGTAATGGATTTCCTTCCAAGCTTTAAAGAAAGAAAAATAAATGTGACCCTCAGGTGAAAAGGTGGGTCCACATATTAAGTTTATCCGTGTACGAAGAGTCCCCAAATGAGTGTCCTAACCACCAAGCCCTTCTCTTGAATTTCACTTCAACGCTTGTGTCTGAAATAATCCATAACCTCGCCATAAAGACGCAGTGTGCAAGGACGTTGTTTTAAACAGATTTTCTGGGCTGCTCGGAGTCATTTTTCTTTATTGCTTTCGTTTCCACTAATCTAGCCGCTTCCTTATAAATTGGCCTAAATGCCATGGGTGGAAGAATCCTCAGAGCTCTAGGTGTTCGCTAGGAAAGAATTAATCACATCTCTAAAGTACACTGAGATTCGGAAACTTCTGGAAGGATCTTAGTGTTCATTTGTTTGTTTACCCATTCATTCCTTTGACTAGAATTACGTGCCAGGTACAGTGCTAGGCCCCTAGAGGGATACAGAGTTGAAACTGGCTTGGCTTCTGACTTTAAGGAATATTCTATTACTACTGAAGAGACTAAAGCAAGTGCACAGATATTGTGCAGAAAGGCTAAAAGTGACAAGGGCTGAAAGTTAGGTGTGGACTGAATAAAAGGAGTGTGATGGAAATTCTCAGGGCAGAGGATTACTGGATGTATTTGAAAGTTCCCAGTGTTTGAGATGGACCAATCACACCAGTCACGCCAACCACGTTGAATCAGGGTGTGTGGAATGAGAATGAGGAGGACGAAGGGAGACTAGAAGACACACGTGTGCGTGTGTGTGTATGTGATGGTGTGTATGTGATGCACTCATAAGCTCGTGAGCTGCAGGTGTGTTCTAAGTATGGGAACATACCGGGAGTGGGCGCTGGGGAGCACAATGTGTTTGTGTGTGTGAGTACTAAGTATATATGGAGTACTGTGTGGGTATTATGGGATATGCTCTGTGCTCTGTTCTGTGTGCATGTGAGTTGCGTGTACACACTGGACAGGCTGTATGTTGATGGTGTAATTGAGGATTGGGGTGTGAGGGGAGTGTCCGAGTGCGTGGTATGCGATGGGGATGTGGGGCACAGTGTGTGCTCGAGGTGTTTCCTCGGGGCGTGTTTTTAGAGTAGAGCATGTGTATGTGTTTATAGTAACTGGGCTGCTGAAGGCACAGAAGAGCTGGAACTTGTAGGAGGAAGGAATCACAAAGGACACCATGTGCCCTTCCTACTCCCCCAGCAGAAGCTTGGCAGATTCCCTCTACCCACTTCCTCATTTGGGAGGCCCCCCCTGTCCTGACCCTCAGACCCCAGGAAGCTGTTGAACCTGCAGACAGAGTCAATCCACTTGCAGGAGGGGCTCCTGGGGAGAGGGAGTCTGTAAGACTGTAAGAACTAAAAGAAGGAGACAGAAGGGTCGGTCACAAAGTGGCATTTGCCATTGTATTAACCAATTATTTATAGCACAGCCTGGGTAGGCAGAGTGGAACCACACTATGACGGCTGGGAGCTCGACGCCCTGGGGGAGGTTTGGGTGGAACAATGAAGCTGGGGTCCCTCCCCACACCCAACAAAACGGGCAGCCCTCCTCGGCTAGCATCAAGGCGTGGTTACAGCAGCCAGGCGATTAAATTATTTCCCTTCTGCGAAGAGTTAGTTCCCATCACTCCAGGCACATTTAAGCAGATAGAGGGCAGTTATTGACTCTGCTTTTTCCCTGGCACTCCCTGACTGTCAGTTAATAACCTGGAGTTCGTCTTGCACAAATCATGGAATTAGTTTATGTGCGGCAGAGAAATGATCCGGAGCTAGATGTCAGCACAACATCCCCCGGCAAATTGCTGCTCCTTTGATTTCAGAGATGTATCATTTGGGTCTTTAACAAAGTCCATAACACCACTCAGAAAGGATGGTGCAGCCAGGGGAGCCAGAAGAAAAACCAAGTAGGCGAAAACGGGAGTTGGAAAACCAGCTTAACTGCAACTAGCTCCCCAGGGTGCCCCAGACTATGGTCACAATCAAAGAAAATTTAAATTAAGGAAGGTGATTTCACTTCCGCTGCACAAGCAATAGACCACCTGGAAAGAGGGTCTGTATCCTAAGGATGCTAAAGATGCCACGCACAAAGATGTTTGTTGCAGCATTGTTTACAAGAATGAAACATGGGAAGATGTAAGATCCAGAAACAAGGAAATTATTCTACATCAATATGACATTTTACAGCCATTAAAAACAATGTGTATAAAGAGTCTGGAATAATATAAAAATGTGACATTACAGCAATAGGGATAAAAAAGCAGAATGGAAATTGTGGGTATCGTGGATCACAAATATGTAAAATATGAATAGAGAGAGCACACATCAAATTTCTAAGAGTCGTGCAATTATAAGTGATTATTTTTCCTTTTTTTTTTTTTACAGAATTAGTCCAAATTTTCCAAAACTAGCTTATATTACTTTTATAATGGCATAAACCAGAGGTCAGCAAAGTTGTTCTGTAAAGGTCCAAGTAAATATTTCAGACTTTATGGGCCATATAGTCTGTTGCAACTAGTCAACTCTGCTGTTGTAGTTTGGAAGCCGCCATAGACAGTGCATTGTAAACAAATGGGCGTGGCTGTGTTCCAATAAAACTTTATTTATAAAAACATGCGGCAAGTTGGATTTGTCCCATAGGCTGTAATTTGCTGATCCTTGGTACAAACCTAAATTATACTCTTTAAAAGGGGGACAATGACGCAGAAGAATTGCCCTTTCATAAGCCCTGGCTATTGCCTGGGGAAGTTGTCTTTCTGATCATAGGAGAATCTGGGGGTCCTAAGGAAACGGTCTGGCCCCCGGAAATCACACTTGACAGGCAGGGCCAGGGACACAAGGCAGAGCTGACTCATGGGGGCCAGCGATGCCTCTCTTGCCTGGGCTGTCACATTCTCCCTCTCTCTGCCTGAGCCATTCCCTATGTCCCTCTGTCCCCCTGGTACTTCTCCCCTGCCTGCCACTCCATCGATTCCAGGAAGAGGATAAAAGAAGAGAGGGATCCTGAGCAGACTGAAGGCCAGGGCAGGGGAAGGAGATCTCTGTCTCACTTACATTGGATTCGAGGTCACCGGATGCAGGATGACCTGGGGCGCCCGGGTCGGTGTCTCCGGCACTGGCACCACATCTAAGAGCCAGAGATTAGACAGTCAGAAACCAAAGGTGGAGTCTACAACCACCCCCAAAGCCTGCTTCCCGGGAGATGCTGGCAGCCAGCAACTTCTCCCCACATCATGGGTCCCTGGGGCTGACCTTTCCCCTCTCTCCCTTCCTGGACCACTTGAACTTCACCCGCTCAGATGCACTAGTGTTCTAGATGACATCCTGAACAAAACTCCCATTGTTGCCTAAGGGCTGCCAGAACCCCCAAGCCTCTGGCCTGAAGCAGCCACTGGCCATCTCTGAATCCTCCTCACTCCCGAGTTCCCTTTGGGATGATGAGACCACTGGGTTTCACGTCTCCCAGTGCCCAACTCAAGCCCCTCTGACCATCTCCCCCTTGCCATGTGGCTCTGGACCCCTCCCCATCTTGCCCATCCTTCCACGCAGACCACCCTCTCAGGCCTTTCTGCTGTGCCCTGGGGCCTCGTTGGTGCCACTGCGCCCCTGGGACTCCCACCTCTTCCTTCTCCACTCCCACATCCGCCATTATCTTGGGGTCTGGTGATTCCATCCCCCCTTTGAGCTTGTGCACCCAGCAACATGCTCCCCTGTCCATTCCAGCAGCTCCCGCTCCTCAGCAGGCTTGCTCAGAAGGGGCTCAGCTCACAGGCGACTCACCTGGGAAGATGAACTGCTGCTTGTATTTGTAGTAGTGGGACACTTGCAAAAGAAAGAAAACATCAAAGTGAGTGCCGCCCCAGAGCGGTCCCTTTGGGTACCAAACTGGGCTCCCACAGCCACCATGTGGTTCTCTGTTCACCGTTGAGAGTTTCCAGACTTCTGCAGACACCCCGAATTCCAAGGGACGGAGAACATGTATAAAGAAACCAGAGCTCTAAAATCCAAGCCAACCCTCCCATTTGAGGCTCCCTGAAACAGAGCACCCCAACTCAGAGAGTCATCCTGAGCACAATCTCATTTGTGTTAAACGCATAAGAACACACACACAGAAAAAGTCTGCAAAGCCATAATCTAAAATATTAATTTTTTTTCCCTTTAGGCAGAGTTGATTACAGTGGCTTAAAAAAAAAACCCTTACAAGTTTCTCATGTTTTCCAAATTCTCTGCATTGGGCATTGTATTAGTTTTCTTGTTGCTGCTATAGCAGATGACCATAGACTTGGTGGCTTAAAACAACACAAATTTATTCTCTTGTAGCCTGGAGGTCAGAAGTCTGAAATAAGTCCTAAGGGGTTAAAATCAAGGTGTCCGCAGGCCTGGTTCTTTCTAGATGCTCTGAAGGAGGATCCGTTCCTTGCCTTTTCTGGCTGTTAGAGCTTGCCTGCATTTCTTCTCCCCTAGCCCCATCACTCCACTCTGCTTCTATCCTGACACCACCTTCTACTGTCTTCGACCTTCTTGTCCCCCTCTTATGAAGATCCTCGTGATTACATTTAGAGCCCACCCAGATACTCCTGGGTAATCTTTCTACCTCCAGAGCCTCAGTAACAGCTGCAAAGTTCCTTTTGCCATATAACACATTCGCAGATCCCAGGATTAGAACGTGGTCACCTTTGGGGGACCATTATTCTGCCTCCACAAGCATGAATTCATTTCTAAATTTAGGGAAAAAATTATATAAAAGAAGTTGCCTCAACTTCACTGCTGATTCTCTTATAATTCTTTTTACTTCCAGTCCACTCAACAGAGACCAGTTTTTCCAAACATCTTCAAGATTTCTAATGTTACCACTTATGCCAGTGTGATGGACAGCCTGGAGCAGGGGGTCCAAGGGGCGTCAGGGGCAGTGGACAGGTCACACAGAGCTTTATACTCCAAAGCAAAGGAAGTGAGCAGGGATGGGGTCAGATATGAGTCTGCATTGGTGAATATACTTCCAGAAACAATCTTATTACATTCAGGGACAAGCTACAATGGGAGTTGGCTCACCAAGAATTAGCATAGTGGTTCTGAGCTGGGATCTGTAAGCTGATCCTGTAGGGATGAACCCTTGCTCTTCTTTTGGCTGCTTGTAAAAGCTTGGGTAACTCTCTCCAGGTCTCAGTTTCCACGTGTGTAAAATGGGGATAATAATAGTCTCTCTCTCATAGGGCCGAGCTCATCATTACGTGAGATGAGTACACAGTAGGTGCAGAATAAGTATTAGCTGTGACAAATAAGCCAACATCTTTCTAAGCTCCCTCAACTAACAGACAAGAATGATTTATAATTAAGAGACAACTGGATAGTTTCAACAGCTAAGTCATTAGCTGCCCCTGAGGTTGGAATTGACTTATAAACTCTCCCAGGATACAGATCAAGTCCTGGTATATACAGATCCCAAGGACCTGGTCTGGTATCTTGCACCAGTGGGTGTGCAACTCATGTTTGTTGAATTAATCAACTCTCTTTCAGCAGAGGAATTCCCAAATACCCCAGAGAGCTGGAATCCAAATGGATGCATTTTTGATGCTGGGACACGAGGTGCCCAGGATGGGAAGCAACTCATTCAAGGTCACAGGGCAAAGCTTTAAAAGAAACCCAACCTCTATGATTTCAGGAACCTTTCTTCTGTTACACAACCCAGGTTTGTTCACTGCGTGCAGACATTTTGTTAGTCAACAAGGGGCTAAAATTAAAAAAGAAAAACTACCCGGGGTTCTCAAGAGGCTCAGCTGATCTCTTCCCTCCCCAGCTGGGACGGGGGATTCCGTGTCTGCAGAAAAAGTTAGCTGGCAGTTAGGTTCTTTTAAGGAGGAGGGACTGGGCACTGGAAAGCAAGCACTGCTCTGAGAAGGGACAGGTGTCAGGCAATGGGACACCTAGCAAGTGCCTCCATGCACAGAGCCAACCCCTCCCCGACCCCTCCGTGTGCTGGAGAACAGCTGGTTCCCAATGACAGAAACGGACAGAGTGTCAGAAGAGGAGGAAAGGCATCTGTGAGCCCTGTTCTTCTCTCAGAAAAACGACACCAGAGAGAAGCAGCCCCAAGGGGCAGCTGACGAACCCGAGTGGCCTGCTCAGGAGAGCCGAGTGGCTCCTGCTCTCTGGCATGGAAGACGACTCAGGAAATGCGAGGCTTCAGGTGACCGGAGGGCAGAGACAAGCGGGCCACTTTGAAGGCACTTCCACTCTGGAGCCCCCTCTCCTTCCCTAAGGCTCCTCACAGAGCAGCCTGAGCGGTCTTCTAGAAGGAAGGAAGAAGGATTAAGTCATCCTCTGCCTAAACCTTTCCATTGCATCCCCATGTGTCTTAAATAAAATCAAAATTCCTGCCACGCCCTACAAGGCCTTCCCAGGCTGCACCCCTGCAGCTCTCTGAGTCTCGCTTGGTGCCATGTTCCCTTATTTACGGCACTCGAGCCATTGGGACATTTTTCCAGCTCTTTCCTGTGGCAGGGTCCTTGCACGTGCTCCCCTCTCTGCCTGGACAACTCTCTTCCATCTTCAGAACTCAGCTGCCTCTGACCCTTCCACACAAACTTGTTCTCCTCTTGAATTTGCTCATAGCATGTTCTCTCCCTTTCTAGCACTTATCACAATTTATAATTCTATTTCAATAAGTATGTCTGCTTGGTTAACACCTGTCTCTCCACTGAGCTATAAACTCCATGAGAACGGAGACGGTGGCAGGCAGAATAATGCCCCCTCTGCCGAAGATGTCCACATCCTAACCTCTGGAAACTGTGAATACATTACCTTGAATGGCAAAAGGGGCTTTGCAGGTATGACTAAGTGAAAGATCTTGAGATGGGGAGATTATCCCGGATTCTCTAGGTGGGCCCTAAATGTAATCACAAGGGTCCTTATAAGGCAAGAGGGTCAGGGTCAGAGAAGGAGATGTGATAATGGAAGCATAGGTTGAAGTGATGTGGGGCCACATGCCAAGGAATGTGGGCAGCCACTAGAAGCTGGGAAAAGGCAAGGTAATGGATTCTTCCCCAGAACCTCCAGAAAAATCCAGCCCGGCTGACACTTTGATTTTTATCCCAGTGAAACTGATTTGGAGCTTGTGACCTCCACAACCATAAGATAATAAATTTCTGCTGTTTTAAGCCACTAAGCTTGTGGTAAGTTGTTACAGCAGCAGCAGCAAACTCATACAGGAACATGTCTGGTTCGTGCACTGCTCCATACCTAGTGCCTCATATAGCACCTGGTATACAGCAGATGCTAAATAAATGTCTGTTAAGGAAATGGATGGAAGAAAGCAGTCTGAGGGCCAGAAGACAATTTGAAGAGAGAAAACTGCAGCCCTCCGCAGTGCATGAATTTCAAGTCATTCATTCACTCATTCATTCATTCAACAAACATTTAATTAGTGCCTTCAGCTGTAGGCAATGTGTTAGGCTTTGGGTGGTGAATGAAGCAGACATGTTTCCTAGTGCCATGGAGCTGACACTCTGATGGAGGAGACGGGCATTAAACAAGTGAATAAATGAAGAAGATCATGGCAGGGAATGAGGAGCACTGTTGAACATAAATTGGGGCAGGGTGATGGCGGGTGGGACATTCTGAAAGGGACGAAACATTCTCATGAGCCCAATGGCCCAGCCCAAGCGAGAGCTCAGAATCCAGCAATGGCTCCCAAAGGCAGATTCTGCCTCCTTTTTTCTTCCTTTAGGCCATTAGAATTTGCCATTTCCTGCAGTGTGTGTATGTGTGTGTGTGCGTATATTTGTGTGTGTCAAGATGGCGGTAGGTGGCTCCAAAGAAAGCAGAAGGTATCTGAACACTGCAGTCTCAGAAACCCACACAAAAATCCCTTACAAAGCCCCTTCATGGATCTTGCCACTGCACATGTCCCACAAGCCTGCATCGTTAGCCCCATTTTACAGAGGAGAAACTGAGACCTAAACACAGTCAGAGCCGAACACAAGGCCACAGAGGTAGAAAGGAGCAAAGCTGGGATCCAAACCCAGGTCTGCTGGTCCACACAGCACCGTTGACCCCATCCTGCACTTGCCATGTGCAACACGGCACCAGGATTCAGGAGGGAATGGCAGAGAACAAGAAGGTCAACCCAACTGGCAGAGCACAGTCAGAAATCCCACCGAGCCTGTGCCTGCCACACTTGGTTTTCTAACTAAAAACTCTTCCTTCACGTGTCCTGAGGTTAACAAGTGAGCCAGATGCCTGTTAACTCCACAGCCCCTTTTGGACAAGAATGTTCTAGATCAATCAGTGCCGGAGACATTGATATGCCTAGGCGTTAGCTTGAATAGTCTTCAGAAAACTCAACATCTGGCAGGGAACCATAGCCAGAGGCTCCATTTCCCATCAACAGAGGCTCGCAGTCAAGAGTGTGACAGGTGACTAGGGCGTTGTGTGAACAGGACAGGTACTTGTCACCCTGGGAGAATTCTGCTAATACTGCCTAAGACAGAGGGAAGATCTGGCTGCCCTTCTGGAAGGTCCTATTTTGTATTCCATTTCAACATCGCATTTTATTTATTATTCAATTATAAAACTGGTCCACGCTCCTTGTTATTATTATAGAATGTAGCTATATAGAATATAGCTACATTATAGAAGCGCATAAAATTCCTCGTCTTAGAAACTACCATGAAGTTCTTGCAGACTTTTTTGTGCATATACAAATATATATATACACACATATAAACATACATATACAAATATATATAATTATTTTACAATAAATAGGATGTTATACCAATTGCTTTGCAAATCACTTAGTTTTCCACTTAAAAGACATTATGGATCATCTTTCCATGTCAGAATATCTACAGAGAGCTGCTCCATTCTTTTTAAGAGCAACTGAGTATTTGGTTATACAGATATATTACAGTGTATTCAACCATTCCCTTCTTGATGCGTGTTTGGGTTGAGTCCAATTTTTTCACTATTGCCATGAAATCCTTACACACAAATCCCTGCACCCTGTGCAAGACTTTCTATATATAAATTCTTAGAAGTGATATTGCTGGTCCAAGGAGTGTACATTTAAAACTTTAACAGACAATGCCAAATTTGCCTTCCCCAAAAGTTCAATTTGATTCATATTCCCAACACCAGGGTACGTGGGGATTTCATCTTTATTTCCACCATTCTGGTTAAGCCTGTATTAATTAGCAGTGATGATGAGAAAGGCCCAAAATGGGAGCCACAGCAATTTTTTATTCTTGTATTTATGTAATAATCATGAAAATAGCTTGCATTTGTTGAGCTCTTCAAGGAGACAGGCACTCTGTTAAGCTTCATATGTATATGATCACGTTTGATCCTTCAATGATTCTACAAAGTAGGTACTATCATTATACCCATTTTACAGATGAGAGAACAGAGGCACACAGAGGTAAGTTATTTGATCAACATCAGGCAGATATTAAGTACAGAGCTGGGATTGGAACCCAAGCAGCCTGGCTTCAGAGCCCACACTCTTAACTGCTGTTCTAAAGTGCTGTCCCCAAAGGATCCCTTAGCCCACTACCCAAAAGAGGGCCAGGACAGTGTCATGACATGCCATGGCATAGGCACAGATCTGCTGGCAGACTATCCCAGGAAATTGGCAAGAAGCCCTCCTTGGGGACTCTGACTTGAAGGAATGAAGGAGCTAAGTGACACACTGATCACTCTGGGTGAGTCAGGTCTCTCATCTAAAGATGCCAGCAGAGTCTTTTAGGGGCAAAAAGAGCTGGGGCGCTTTGTTGAACAGTTCTCTCTTAAGCGGGTTCTTTCCCAGGCCCTGGCCCATAAACAAACGACGAACAATTCCAGGGAAAATAGCCCCGAAGAGAGTGTCTCAGAGGGGTGGAGCAGTTCTAGGAAAGCGCCCAAGCGCACTTCCCCCCAATTTTGGGGGGTCATGGGGTGTCAAAGGGTATTTTTTCCATCACCCCTTCCAGAGAAGTGGAAATGCACGATACCAGCGGTGGTGGTGGGAGCCCTCAGTCTGTGGAAACGCTAGGCAATTTGCCTAATTGACTCGGGGGCACTTACTGAGATGATTCTAGCCGGTGACTCACATGATGGTCCTTGGTGGCTGCCAGGCGAGTGGCCCCCACACCAGGCAGATACGAGGCTGCCTCAGACTTGAACTTAACAAAAATTCCCAATGACACAGACTTCAAAATGCACCCCATCCCTAAGGACACAGCCCAGATCAAAACCTGTGGGCAGATGACATCATCAGCTTTTCCTTAAATGGGTGGTTGGATCTGGATGTCGTTCAGAAGTGGGAACGGGCCTCCGCTCACCTCCCAGACATTCACTCAGGGCTGGTTAGGCTTGGAGGTGTGACCCGCGGCCGAGGACCTGGGATTTTGTCCCCCTGCGTGAGTTTGCTAGCTCAGGAGGAAATCAGCCTAGACCAGCACTGTTGAGGGGAACTTGCTGCGTGGTGGAAACGTTCTATACCCGTGCTGTCCAATATGGCAGCCGCTAGCCACATGTAGCTATTGAGCACCTGAAATGTGGCTAGTGTCTAAGGAATTAAAATTTTAACTATATTTCATTTTGATTCATTTAAATTTAGATAGCCACATGTGGCTAGTGGGTACCATATTGAACAATACAGACTGAGACTGTGGTTCCAAATGGCCAAGCCAGACCTCATTCCACCAACCTCCCTCTTGAAGTCAGCTGTGGTGCTGCCAATACGGCTGAGCTGGAAACATCCTTGGGGCCCTGGAACAGGAGGTGGGCTGGGCCCGGGAAGGGGTGGGAAGACTCTTAGGTCTGTCCCACCGGAGAGCAGAGAAAGATCTCTTTCTTAAGTCTCATGACAAAGAAGGCCAAGAAGCCAAAACATCTCCTGAGTGACTTCTCCACATCTCACAGCCCAGCACATAATCTCAGGTCAGCAGCTTAGTGCCCTGGAATTTGTGAGCTGGAAGAACTTTCCAGGCCCTTTCATCCACCTATATCCTTTCAGAGGTGACAAAACTGAAGTCAGAGGTCACAGGGCAGGAACATGATAGAGCTGGATTTGAATCCAGGACTCCAGCTCTCTCATTCAGAGCCCTGTCCTGATGTCTGGAGGAAGACTCAGAACGCAGCCCTGCTCAGGTGCGTGGCCCCCGAGATCCTCGGCACAGGATTCTGCTGCCAATTTCAACCGATCTCGCTCATATGACAACTGCCAGCTCCAGAGCAGACGAGTCCCCCTGGGACTTAGACTGCGGCGGAGATACTGGATTGCTGCTTACTCAAAGACAGTCTCTAAGAGTGCCTTTCCCTCTCTGAGCCTCAGTTTTCTCATCTATAAAATGGAGCTGATAATACTTACCTTGTGGCTGAAGATCAAATAATGTAACATGTGGTGACTGCCCTGCACGTGGTAAGACTCAGTCCACATGCCTCCAACCCATCGCCTTTAAGGTACTCTGCCATGAACCCGACACCCTCCCTAATCTCTGCCCCTCCAACGCTGTACCCCTCGCGTCTCCCCAGCATGGAGGTACCTGGCAGGTTGAAGTTCTTCTGCTGCCTTGTGCACTGTGGGGAAGGGTGTAAGGGAGAAGGCGGCGTGGCGCTGGGTGGGAGAGGGGGTGCTGGCGAGGAGGGCGTGGAGGACGTCGTGGACGAGGGATTGCTGCTAGAATCTGGCTGGTAAGGGACAGGGATGTGGTCCTGCAGAAAGAAAACAGGGCAGGGTGAGGGGACAGGCAGGAAGCGGAGACACAGCAGCGAGAGTGAGCTGAGCAGGAAGAGACTCCCCCTCTCCAGCATCCTCAGCCGCTCTTGCCCTGTCCTCAGCCACCAGATCCTTCCAAAGTCCCACCCGCTTCCTCATCCCCACTGGGTTGCATCCAGCTGTGGAAGGAACAGTTTCTGCAGTCAAATTCCTGTCCACTGTCTGGACCCCAGAGTGAAAGGTCACCACGTAATGAAAGACACGTAGGTGGCAGCCACGCTCCCTGTGCCGCTTTGATTTTGGAAAGTCCCACACCAAGGCGCCCAGAGTGCTCTTCCCATCCTAACACCTCTCCTCCTGAGTGTTTATTAAAGAATCAACAGCCCGACAGCTCAAGAGAGAGCGTGAGAGCGAGCCTCCAGCATCTTCCCTCGCATCTCAGTTGGAACCAGCACTGCCTCTCTTCGCCCCGGAACATGCTCTAGAGCAAAGACAAAGACAGAATCCACATGTGCACCTTCAGAACGGCCCTGGTGGGGACGAGGTCAGGAGCGGTGTAGTGGGTTGAACAGTATCCCCCAAAAGACATGTCCAACGAAACGTTAGAAGGTGACCTTATTTGAAGAAAGGTCTTTGCGGAGGTAATGAAGGTAAGGATCTGGAGAGGAGATCATCCTGGATCGGGGGGGCCCTAAATCCAACGTCAAGTGTCCTTATAAGAAGCAGAGAAGGAGAGACACACACAGAGGGGAAGGGTGTGTGAAGATGGAGGAAGAGAATGGACTGATGCTTCCAGAAGCCAAGGATTGCTTGAGCCTCCGGAGGCAAGGAGAGAGGCATGGAGTGGATTCTCCCTCAGAGCCTCCGGAAGGAACCGACCCCACTAACACCTTGATTTCAGGCTCCTGGCCTCCAGAACTGTGAGAGAAGAAACATCCGTTGTTTTAGCTACTCAGTTTGTGGCGGTTTGTTATGGCAGCCCCAGGAAACTAATACAAGCAGAACCCCGAGTCAGGCCAACCCAGATTCAAATCCCACAGCCACCTCTTCCCCACGCATCCTGGACAACATGCTTCACCTCTCCATTCCTCAGTTTTGCCCACCATAAAATGGGAATAATACTAGCAAACCTCGACATCAGATAAGAGGGATTCCTGTCTCTCAAAGCCAGCATTGCTGAGTTCTCAGGGACACCTTGATCTGTTCACTCACAGGACAGTGGTCACTTGGTCCCTGACTCACTCAGTGGTCCATCACTTGGATTGGTTCCAGGTGCCCGAGGATGGCCTTGTGTGGTCTGGTTATTTGTCAACAGGTGTGTTTACCTGCCAAATTCCAGAGTCGGCATAGCAAACACCAACCAGCATAGGAGAGCAAGCGGGGAGGAGAAATGGACATTCTCCCTCTGGATGCCCAATGGGTGCTCGGCCCATGCTGTGCATGTCACCTTCCCAGAGCCCACTCCACTCTCACTCAGTCACACTGGCTCCACATCAGTGCCTTCACCTCTGTGAATTTCAGTCTCTCCTTACCCTTCCCATGGGCTAAGAATACCCACCTCCTGGGTCTGTTATGAAGTTTAAATAAGGCTATATATGTACCTAGCCCCCTAGCACTGGGCAAAGGCACTTTGTCATCAATAAATGGTAGCTATTATGTTGATGACAGTATTTATTTTGCAATTAAACTTTTTATTTGAGATAACTGCAGATTCATGTGCAGTAGTAAGAAATAATAGAGATCCCGTGCATCCTTCTCCAGTTTTCTCCAATGATAACATCTTGCAAAACTATAGTACAATATTTAATTGATATAGTCAAGATACAAAACAGATCTATCACCACAAGGATCCCACATGTTGCCCTGTTATAACCATACCCACTTTCCTTTCTCTCTTCATCACCGCTCCCTCCCAGCTTTAACCCCTGGAACCACTAATCTGTTCTCCATTGCTATAATTTTGTCATTTCAAGAATGTTATATAAATGGAATAACATAGTATATAACCTTTTCAGATTGGTTTGTTTTTCACTTAGAATAATTCTCTGGAGATTTATCCAAACTGTTGCATGCATCAATAGTTTGTTCTTTTTTATTGCTGCATAGTATTCCATGATACGGATGTACCACAGTTTGTTTAACCATTCATCCACTGAAGGACAGCTAGGTGGTTTCCTCTCTGTGGTCACTGTGGATAAACCTGCTATAAACATTCAAGTAGAGGTTTTATGTGGACATATGATTTTATTTCTCTAGGGTGAATGCCCAGGAGTCCCATTTCTGGATAATATAGTAATTGCATGTTTATCTTTTAAAGAAAATGCCCAAACTGTTCTCTAGAGTGGCTGTACCATTTTACACCAGCAACATATGAGTGATGGATTTTCTCTGCATCCTTGTCAGTGTTTGGTGTTGTCACTATTTTTTATTTTAGCCATTCTGTAGTGATTCTCACTGGAGTTTTAATTTGCATTTTCCTATCGGCTAACGGTATTGAACATCTTTTCATGTGCTTCCTGCTATCTGTATATCCTCTTCAGTCTTGATTACTGTAAATATATAATAAGTCTTGAAATCAGGTAGACTGCTCCTACTGTATTCTTTTTCAAAATTGTTTTTAGCTATTTTAGTTCCTTTGCCTTTCCATATAACTTTTAGAATAATCTTGTCTTTATCTACAAAGAAAACTCTTGCTGGGATTTTGATAGGAATTGCGCTAAACCTGTATACCAATTTTAAGGAGAATTGACATCTTAACTACGAGTCTTCCAATCCATGAATATGGTATGTGTCTTGGTTTCCTAATCAGAAAAATAGAAACAGGAGTTTATGTCTTTTGCCCAATCTAGGACGTTTTTGACCATTATTTCCTTGAGAACTTTTTCAGCCCTGCCCTCTTTCTCCCCTCCTTCCAGGACTCTGATGACACCAATACTACATCTTTTATTATAGTCTCAAGGGTCCCTGAGGCTCTACTCATTTTTTTCAGTCCATTTTCTTTCTGTTACCCAGACTATGTAATTTCTACTGTTCTGTCTTCAAGTTCACATATTCTTTCCCCACTCCTCTATTCCATCATTGAGTCCACTCATTGAGTTTTTAATTTTGATTACTATATTTTCTAATGGTATATTCTAAAATCGCAGTGTGGTTCTTCTTTATATCTTCTGTTTATTTGCTGAGACTTTCTATTTTTTTGCAAGGATTTCCTATTTATTCATTTGTTTCAAGAATGTTTATAATTGCTTTATGAAGTATTTTTATGATGACTGCTTTAAAACTCTGTCAGATAATTCTAAAATCTCACTTGTCTCATTGTTGGCATCTATTGATTGTCTTTTTTCATTCAGTTTGAGATCTTCCTGGCTCTTGGTATGAGGAGCGATTTTTAGTTGGAACCTGACACTTGGGTATTATGCTGTGAGACTCTGGATCTTATTCAGACCTTCTGCTTTAGCTGGCCTCCAGTGACACTGCTCTAGCAGGGAAAGGGGAGGTCCCATCTTGTTATCGCCAGGTCGGGGTAGAAGCCTAGGTTCCCCACTCTGCCTCTCCTGGCAATTGAAGGCAGCAGGGGTTCCTAATTATTGCTAGGTGGGGGTGGGAATTCCAGCTCCCCCCATAGGTCTCCACTGATACCACTCTTTTTGGGAAAACTGAAGTGTCTGATTACTACTCTCCATGCAGCCTCCACTGCCACCAAGGAGTTGGGGAGGTGGCCTCGTTAATGATGGGTGGTGGTAAAAGTCTTGACTCTTCGCTAGGCCAGAACTGACTCCACCTCCTCAGGTAGGGGTGCTGCATCATTGCCCAGTGAAGGGGGCTCATTACCACCAGTGGGGATGAAAGTCCCTTCTCCCTACTCAGCCTTTCTGACACCACACTGGCAGGGGGACTGGGGTGCCAGGTTATAGTTTGGTGACAGTGGAAGTCTAGACTCTCTACTTGGGGGGGTAGGGGTAGGGCAACAGATTTTTCTGTGGTGTTTGGCTGGGGTAGAGTGGTTATTGGGTAAAAGTTTTCTTGCTAAGCTATCCCTTTCCTGGTCTTTGACAGAGAGAACAGGCTTTTGTTGGGGTTCCTTTTGTCTTCACCCATTGGCACTTCCATGCAGCCAGATTCATCAACTTCATATCTGGGATATATGAGGCCAAAGGAAATCTCAAGAAACTCACCACCATTCCTTGGGTCTTGAGATCCCTAGCTAGTCTGCCTTCTTCTCACCATCTTTCAGTCTTCTTATGTTTGTTTCATATATAATGTCCAGGGTTTTTAGCTGTACTTAGGCAGGAGGAATAGGGAAAAGTACATCTACTCCACCTTCCTGGAATTAGAAGCCTTTTAATTTGTTAGTTCATTTCATCCTGACAGCAAACCTGCAAGATGGGTGTTATCTCCAGAGGGAGAAACTAGGACTCTGAGAAATGGAGAGACTTGGTTATAATTGTGTAGAGAGAGAAATGTACACCCATTCCTTGGACAACTGGCATTCTCAGGCTACACAATTTTACCTGGAATAATGGGTCCCACCAATATGATCTCTGACCCAGTGGAGGAGAAATAAAGTTAAGCCCTAGTGAAAGGCAGGGGAGACCTGAGCACTTGGACATAGTCCTACTATTCCAGGCAAAGTCATAATCCAGTTAATTCCAGCCACTTGCCAGGCAAGACCACCTTGGAGGTAATTCTGATCTGATTTTAGCAGAAATGCATCCAGAGGCCAGTCTTCTCAGTTTATCTTAAATTATCTAATGGTAATTACATTTCCACAGCAACAGATATGTTAGTGTAAGGAGTACATGTCAGTGACATGTGGGGCTGAGATTTATGTGGCTGGGTTGTGACATGGAGAGAAGCTCTCACTCACCCCAATGGGCACATGAGGCTTTTAAAGGAAGTTAGGGACTGATTATGTCATTTGAGGGATAAGGGAAATGAACATCAGGCATCTATCCACCCTACCAAGACTCTCCTCTTTGAACTTCTACTCACAGAC